ACTCATGCGGCGTTACCTCGCTCTGAGGCGTTCCATTTAAGGCTTGAAGTGCAAGCGAGAGCGCGGAACGAGCGACAAAGAGGCACAATCGGCCTCCGCGTTCGGCAGCGTTCGACATCTGTCTCTCTCCTACTTGAGTGAGCGATGCGTCCGCGTGGACAGCTGCTATACAATAATACATTTCCATTTACCTCCTTCTCTATATCCATACAAAATATCTATCAAACAAATAAAATTAAAATTTTCTTTTGAAAAATGAAACCATTCCATCAGTATTTTCTTATGACGTTGTCACGTTCAACTATCCGACTTTACAGACAACCGATTTTTTTCTTTTTGATAAGTCATGTTTTTACATTATTTTCTAGTACGCTACTGCCCTATCTGTATTAATACTATAATTTATGCCTACTTAAAACTTATTTGTGTATCGGTTCCAAGTGACTTACCCAAATAGGTCATAAATGGGTAAGCACCTGCGCGACTGCTCGCCAGCTTCCTTCGTCAGACCTGTACTTTTTTGAGAAAAGCATTTTGTATTTTATATAAAATACTTTTCCAAACGTATTGTCTATTTGTAAACTGCAAAGTACATTTTTGCCTTTAAAAGTTTTGCTACTATCACGGATTAAACATTATATAAAATGATGAATGAAAGTTGTTGAGGTTGTCCATTGAAGGTATTGGAAGCTTGAAAAGGGAACAAAGAGAAATTCCATGGATGCCTTCTAATTCTTTAATTGAAGAGAGCCCAAAAAATTCTAAACTCCTTGAAAATAGATAATCTAAAATATTGGATCGATATTGTTTTCCGGGTTTAATGTCATGGTTCATGGAATTTTGAAGTTCCAAATCGATATCGACACCTGCTAAATCATCACTTATCGTACCTTTAGCAAGAAACTACGAAATTCTATGAATTACGACAAAACAGCCCGCAAAACAATATCGAGTTGATATACGCCAGCTGTGTAAAACTGAAAACTACAAGATATTGTGGTGTGCTAATAAATGCCTATTACGCAAAATCTTTAGAAAGCGATTCGAAAAACTTCACTTATTAGATGAACCCAAAGCAGAAGAAACTACGGATTCCATTTTTTTCTGTTATTACAATGTGTAAGATCGGAAACAAAATGGGGTTGTAAACATTTTGAGATAAAATGATTGATGTTGATTTTAGATCAATAAAATTATTTGCAACCCTATTTTCGCTCTGATCTTTCAAGGTAAACAAACTATTTTGACATTACTGCCACTTTTCCAATTAAAATAGGTGACAATGGTAAATAAGGAAGCATACAGAAGAATTATATGTTACTGAACTGAAGAAATTATAACATAAATATAGAAAAATTATATCTCAATAACTTCAAACAGAAAAATATCAATCTTCGCAGCTGGTGATATAGTTTAAACACCNCAGTCTCCTCTTGGATGTTGGGGAATCTGCCGGACTAACACTGAAAAGTAGATAAGCTTCGTAGTGACTCATTGCAATAATTTTATTAAATAAACTAAAAGTGTTTCATAGCTTTCATTTACCTCCGAGGGCTCAAAGTTGTTTTACTGGAATTTAAATTCTTCTCACTAGATGAAACTTGTACTCCAGATTTCCTTCTCGGTAAACTCCCTGGGAGACTGGACGGTTTTTCGTCTTCTTTCCTGCGCGTTTTAGAACCTACAGGACTTCTAGATATCGACTTCTTTCTTCCAATATCCCTCATCTTCTTTTCCCTCTTTCTTGGTGACGCTTGTCCCGATGGTACCTTCTCTCCGCAAAGGCCGCTACTGGAATCGTCGGAGGTAACCGAAAATTTTTTGTCATGATTCGATTTCTCAAAACCAGACTGCTCCGTCGATGGAGACGTTCGAAGAGACGATGGTGACCTCTTAGACTGCTGTGATCTTCTCTGACTTTGCAGAGGACTTCTGGTTCTTGTCCTGGTTCTTTTCACTTTTCCATTCACCTTCAAAAGGTCTTTGGTAAGGGACTGCTCGTCGTCAGTTTTTTTTGTATGTTTCGAAGAGGGTCTCTGTTTTTCACTTGTTGAGGGTTTTTCGTCCCATTTTTGGTGTTTCGTTATTTCGACTGTAATTTTTTTCTTTTTCTGGTTTTTTTCGTCCGAAGCTCGTCCCAAGCGATCAGACTTCCAAGTAGGTCTGTGGAAGAAATAATCCAATTGATTCTATTTTGAAACATGCAGACAAATATTGTTAGAACTCACTCATCATCCAGAGGAGATTCGTAGTACCCTGACGAAGAATAACGAGCGCTTCTTTCATCTTCCGATACAGAAGGTACCCGTCGCGATGAAGGCACAGCTGGTTTTTGAGGCGAAGTTGCAGAACACGAACCGTCCAGACTGTAGCTACCCGAGGATGAGCTAGGAGATGGCGATGATGGCTCCGGAGCAGAACCACCGCGAGAACAAACAACCACCTTCAGCTCCGTGCAAGTTTCTTCCAAAATTAATGGCGGAGAAAAGGACGGAACGACCATGTCATCTCCGAAAACATCCGACTTGGCTTGTCCATAAATAGAGGAAGCACTTTCGAAAGAACTACCGTCATGAATTACAGCAGAAGAATGCACCTTTACAGCTGCTTCCTGTCGAGCAAAATAAACACTTACAAATGCGAAAACCTCGTACACAGTAATGCCGATTTACCCTATTAGAGACACTTTTCTTGGAACTATCGGTCCCTGAGGTCGCTGTAATGTAGTCGTCGGTGGTCGTGGTGCTTTCGGAAATATCTGTGTTCGTTTTCCCTGAATCAGTTCTAGCCAGCGGTAACTCTGGAACAACTGCAGGCAACGGTGACTCTGGCTTTTGCTCGACTGGACGTTTTTTGGTCAAAGGGGGAGGTTGTTTGTGAATAGGATGCGCTGTTAGGAACTGTTGGTTCTTGTACTCTGGCGTTTTGGGTGATATGTGTTGTGCGGATTCCTTACAAATTTTGGGTAATTCGGGCTGTATCTGCAATGAACGGGACACCCTAGTTCATAACAGTTTCCCGTGTCAATTATACATATATAATAGATCAAGGAGGTTATTCTAAAAGGATCAATCAAAAAAATACATTTACTGGAGAGGAGTGTAACACATAACTGTAAAATGAACAATACATCAACAGGAAAATAACCAAGCAAGTAATAATAACCTCACCTAACCCGGTCAAACTTGCGCAGTGCTACCTTGCCGTACGTTCCCTTCCTTACCAACTCATCCTTACATGATCAAACATAATGCATTCCAACCCAAGTCAATCTAACGCAATCTATGCTAACCTAACCTAACCTAACCTAACCTAACCCGGTCAAACTAGCGCCATGCTACCTTGCCATACGTTCCTTTGCTTACCAACTCATCCTTACATGATCAAACATAATACATTCCAACCCAAGTCAATCTAGCGCAATCTATGCTAACCTAACCTAACCTAACTTAACCCTGTCAAACTTGCGCCATGCCACCTTGCCGTACGTTCCCTTCCTTACCAACTCATTCTTACATGATCAAACCTAATACATTCCAACCCAAGTCAATCCAGCGCAATCTATGCTAACCTGAGTAGTGTCAATCGATTCTTCGTCCAAAGCGTCAATATCCATGGAAGATCTCTGAAGGTGTTGCAAAAGCAGATTTTTTCGTCTGGTCGAAGGAGTAAGCAATTGAATGGACGTTGTAGCAGCAGGTGCAGACAGAGAAGTAATTTCTGAGCTACTTAAACCTGTACCGTTTTCAGTTCCAGAATCTACTTGTAACACGGTTACTTGAGACTCGTTCCAAATTCCGTCAGAATGATCTCTGAAAATTACCAACACCAACACACTTACATAATGTTCTGCTCAGCGAAAACGAAATTCTAAAATTACCTCACGTCATTTGCAAGAGAATCATTCGAAGTAAAAGGTGATGGCTTTCGTTCAAATACAGGAACAACACTTTCATCTTCCAGAGATAACAATCTTTCAGGTTTACGCCCACAGCGATCTTCCAATATGTCATCGCTGGTTGAAGACCCACTTCTTCTCAAATATCTGCCTTTATATATTAGAGTTTCATGAAATTCTTCTTCTATGGAGTCTTGGGTTGGTAGACCGATGCCTTCGCATGTATCGGATATAGACGAGTATACACTATCTTGAAGTTTCCGAAACACCCCTTCGTTTCTAATAGGAGAGTTTCGGAAATATGGGACAAACCCATCAGAATCGGACTGATCTTTAAGGTTTTCGTGACTCAAAGAAGAAACGGTTTTAGTTTGAAAAATTTCTTCTTTAATTAATCTTCGTTGATCGAGTAAAATTTCACCATCGGACAACGTCTTTTGTAACGTTTTCTTGGGAACTATTTCTATCGGAGAACTGGATGAAAACCTCGGCTCAAAGTCTATTATGATTTCTTCTTGCAAATTCGATTCTGATTCGTCAGATGTCTCTGACTCATGAGCCATCTGTATCTGATGGGAATGTAAAGGTGACTCCTCTTCTTTTATTTCTTTTGTGAGATGGGGAGGTGTCGTAACCACAAAGGGTGATCTGGGAGGTTCATCTGATTGCGTCCTACATAAAGGGTCATGAGTAACAAAAGGTTCTTTTGGGAAGGTATCCTTACAAATGGTGTTGAATCTTCCACCTCCTATCTCTGAATAAGACTTCAACAATTTTCTTCCATTAATCAGAATACCGTTTGTCTGTGCCGCTTGGGACACCATACTTGCCTAAACAAATAGAAACCGTAGCTACTTAAAAAGACCCAGAAACTTTAAAAATTGAATACAAAGAATGCGGAGATTTCTTTCAGGTATAAGATTTCATTGAAAGTCAATATTGTACCTATACGACAGGGAATTGATTAGTTTCTAACTGAAATATAGCAACTTCAACGTGTTCAACAATGAAATTGCAAATACATGAAAGTTATATTAGCAAATGACAATATATGTATACATATACGGATGCATACTGATATGTAGGTGCAATTAATTAACTTTATTGTTTCATTGTGCTCGAAGGGTAATACAATGGTATCTATTTGCCATATTAAATCTACGAGGAAGATTATATAAATTACACGCGATTTGCACGCAAACCTAATTAATAAAGAGCATTCAGATCTTAATCATCAATTCATTAAAACCACTACAAGTGGTTCGCGATTTAGAACATCATCGTCATCATCATCTTGCTTGAATGGAGTAATTTCGACTAAGTCTGTGATTTATTTAAACTAGATACCTGTGGTATGCTAACTAAACTAGATTTATCTACTAGAAATCGCAATCGTGGTTTCGATCAATTTCTGGCCAAGAACTTTTAATATTATTAACATAAAATTAACATTTGCCTAAAATGTACCATACATTTCAAACTCTATGACCTTCATGATCATTATCATCGTCATAGGGTCGTCAGTCCTAAGACTGCTTGGACACGCACTTCCACTATTTCCTATCCTGATCAAATCTTCACATTTTCCTAGAACTAAAACGTCGCACACTATTAACTATTTGTGGACAGTGACTTAATATATGTCTATCTCTACTCCTCTTGACTCCTGTTTATGCTTCTAAAATGTCTCTAACTAGTCCTTCATACCTGAGAAGGTATCCTACCAAACTATCCCACTTATTTCTAATCGACTTCCTCTCTTCTTCTACCCTTTCTAATACCTCCTCATTTCTAACCTTCTCGCTTCGCCTGGAACACCACATTTCGAACCGTCCATGTTTCGCACCCGTATAGAATCACGCTCCAGATATAAATTTAACAATCCTTTTCAAATTCATAAATTAACCGTTTGCGAATATAAAAGTGTGTTTTTTTTTTGTTAAAGGCAACTCGACCCTGATTTTATGTTCGGTTTAAATCGATATGTTTTAAATCGTGAAATGCTAAATGGTGTTTCTCTTTTGATGCCTGTAACAATATTTTCATTGCTAGTTGTTTCAAGATCATCGTAGGTTATACTCAAATAAAATGTTCTGTTACTAACATATAGCAATAGAAATTTACATTTAAAAGGGTTGTAAGTTGGGTTTTACAAAATTTTTTGTTTAACGGTTTCATTTCAAAGTTTAAGTCGCCATTTCCCGACTTTAAAAGGATAATGAACAGTATGGAAAGTAAAATATATTTCCTTGGGTATTCACCATTTTCCAGTTATTCGGCTACATAAAATATAAAATATTCAAAATGCTCTACATAATACCAGCATCACAGAATTTTTTTCACATGAATATTTAACGATATTTCGGGAAATTTCCAAGTCAATTAGACCTCAAATTTACATAACTTATTCCCGTCGTAATTCTACATTAACAACATATTAAGAAGCGACATTGTAGATACTATAATTAAACAAATACACCTATTAATTAATTAGTGCGCCTTTATGAGTCTATTATTCGTAATATTAATAGCCTCCCTCTTGTTAAAGCTTCTTAACCATTAAGAAATTTAATAGTCATATAAAAGACCATAGGAAAATTTGACGATACTTGAGTCAATTTAGGAAGGCAAGATCGATAGTAAATTTTATTGGGATCTAAAAAAGAACGACTGTTACACTGTCCTTTATTCATCTTATTATAATATTATCTGAAAGAGGAAAGAAGTGTAACTGATCAAATTAATTGATTGTGAACAGTGGGACGCCAAAGAATAGACTGAGTCTATTCCAATAACTTGAAAAGGTTGTACAAGTGAACTGATACTTAAAAAACTCATAGTAAAGATAGTCCAGAATGTCATGAACCTTGGTCTTAAATTGCGTAGTGACAAAACTCCGGTTAATCGATTGTACTTGGCTATTAAATTTCTTAATGATTAAAACATTTTCCTCTTAAAAACATTGGTCTTCAGTCGTCACTGTTCCATTCTTGATGGTATAACGAGACGCATGGTTAACAATCGAGTCAACGTTTTCATAATGTACAATATGCGCATATGAGATTTGGAACGACCTATACCATAGGTATGACACAATTTTAACCAATAGATCACATTAAAAATACGTAACTACCTAATAAAAAAGATCAGCATATAATTGTAACCCATGTAGGTATATATTACAATAATTACAGTAATAATAATCAAAATAACAAAGACTATATAATAATGTCTTTACGCTAGTAGATTTATTTCTCATTCATCAGGGAAAATTACTTTAAATAATGAATCTCAACAGTAAAACTGAACAGTCAACGAGCTTTTGCTTTTATCCAAATATCGATTTCAACTCCCTCCTATTGTACACTACGTACTGTTTTGTTGCTTTTTAGTTAGCCATACATTTCACCGGTAGTGTTCATAACAGCTCTTTCATGAATTAAGAGCCTAACAAAAAGATGGATCGCCGGGACCAGTTCTATAGAAATTTTTATACTAAAATAAATAAAAGGGGCTAAAAGGGAAATCCCCAACTAAGCACAAAAGCGGTATGACAAAGAAAACTTCACGTAGCTGTCAAATATCGATTATCACGAAAATGAATGATCGACGGTTTTAACATAAGATATTTTATTAACAAACTACTATCGCCATAAAGATCGCAAAAACGAACTGGAGATGTATGCAAGATTCAGGTTAAAATCAGAAACGAAAGCTAATAAGTATTGACTGCCACAAAAGGGAAGACTATACAGAATGTGTAAGAAAGAGGAGGAAACACTACAACATGCCTTACAAAAATGTGAGCACACCGGAAAAGAGCAAAAAAGTTGGATACCGCAGATCACGGGACCAGTAGCTCATGCAAGAAAAAAATTTTTAATCTTGTTAAAAACTTATTTTTTTTGAGACTTTTTTCACTTTATGTAAACTTTTATTAGGTGATATTNGTCTTTCATTTCCACAAAAAAAAAAAAACGAAATGACTTTCCGAGCAACCCTATATATTTCACATCTCTCTAGTAATAAATCGTCAAATTTTGTCATGTCTGCCTCTTGTTCACCGTCCAGAAAAATTCGTTACCTCTGATATCTAAAGTGCACGTCTCCAGAGACATGTAACGTGATATACTCTTAAAAAAAAAAGACGACGTCCTATTGATTTTCGCTTATCGGACGTAGTAGTGATCGTAGTTCATGCTGTGGAACAGAACGAGCAAATGCAGCAACGCGACTGTCACAAAAATTCTGACCGCAATTCGTCACGAGACATGTCCCCATTGCTGGCATCTAAGATTCGTTTTCTTTTCAACCGTGCAGTTTTCATTTAGAAAATTCATTTGTGGAAAGCAAGATTTTTGGAAAATTGTGCAATATTACAAAAACACTCACAATAGAGATCTGAAATGAATTTTTAGGATTCCCTATCTGAGGCGTGTCCAACGGTACCGTATTATTGTGGCAACAACATTCAACGTCCTTCCGTCTGCCTAAACACTAAACAAAACGAGATGTCGACACTAAGGCGTAGGAAAATAAAGTACGCTATGGAAATCAATCGGGGAAAAGGAGAGATAGGATGATAACACTTTTGAGACATGGAGACACCCTAGATCACTGTACGAAAATTCATAGTTAAGGGTGTGAGATGTCTTAGGTTTTGGAAAAGTGACCTAAAATGGAAAAGTATGTGTCCAACTTATTTTCGAACTGATGACCTTACAATGATGATGATGATGATATATCTTGATACCTTCGTTGCCCTATCTTCCTTAACAATTTCATCTTCTATGTCGAAACTTTGCCGACCTCTAACTTAGTTTATCGAATAAAATAATTCGAACTGGTCTGTATTCTGTCGAAACTACCAGACGCGGATCGCGATTTCGATCTTTTAGGATCTCATCAGCGCGACGCAGGCAGCTCCGACAGAACACAGACCAACTTTTACCTGCTGTCTTAATAGCGCGTTTTAGAAAATACCACAAATGGCGCGGTAAACGCCATCTGTAGTACGATGTTACATTTTAGGATTACGTATGCTCCAACAAGGTCCACTTGTGTGGATATCTACTTGCTGAAACGAATCCCGGTTCTTAGTTTGTCGCATTAGTGAAAATAGTGTTAAATTTAACGCTAGTTACCTTGTTGGTAAATTTTAGAGGCAAAAACGGAAGTTAGAAGGGGTAGAGGTAGACCTAGATTAGATTACAGTTCGCAAATAGTTACGGATATGAGTTACTCTAGCTTTGGGGAAATGCGAAGATTGGCGCAGGATAGGAAAAAAGTGGAGGTGCGTGTCCAACCAGTCTTAGGACTGACGAGCTTATGATGATGATGACGTTACGGAAAGAGAAAACAGGTACTATGATGGTAAGCTTTTCCTACGTCTAGCAACACCTTCGTTTTACGATACATGATGGAAATGCGAATTATTTTAAACAGTCAATCCGATGAACACCTAGATGTTCTCAAAACAAAAGTATGTTGATTGGATAATCACCGACTGTGTTACAATCACATAATCACTTTTTGACATTGCTCTTTAATAATTCGGTGTTCAATATCCACCACTTCGTTCCGTTCCATGAAGCAAATGATGTACCTAAATCGCATGAATGAAATAAAAACCCATCACTATGAAGGAATCAATTTATTTATGTGAACGTTGAATTAACATTCGATAGGGGACGTGACCACCACTTTCACTATATTTTTAGAAACCCCTTCTAAAGACTATTCCAATAGTCCAAAGCAAACAATTACAACTTTTACAATACGTAAGAAATACTTTTTTAAGTAATTCGTTTATCATGTACATGAACATGTAATGTATAGCATTGACGCCATCTTCTTTTAAACATACATATTTGTAGACACGATATAGTATTTTATTTTTGTAATATAATATCATTAGATATCTGATAAATATGTATGTATTAGATAACAATATTTGTGTTGGGAGAATTTTATTAGATACCTTATTTAAATCAAGATCTATCTTGAAATAATCAATTATTCTAGCAGAAAAATGGTAAAAAAATCTTGTTTATATGCGATGAAACCGAACTACATTCTTTTAAATTTGCACTTTTTCACCTGTATCGGTATCTAAATTTCAGAATTTTGGAACCTGTAATTCGTAATGTACGAATTTAAAGATTCATTATTTAAAATTCTCAATCAATTTAAGATTCTTAATTTGAAGATTCTGAATCTATCAGTGGTTCATTTTATAAATCAGAACATCCTACCCGATAGCATCCTACCCAAAAACATTTTTATCAGACCGTTCGAAAAAGACTGTCATTATCAGTTCGATTTCAAAAGTTTTATGATCAATTAGTCCGTCTTAGAAAGAATCAAGTTAAACAAGCACTCACCCTATTAAGTGGCCAGGGATTAAAATGCACTTTTCCGGGTAGTATTGGTTTCCTCCCCAAACAAGCTTCCGTTTGTGTGGCTTGAGATTTCATCGATGCAGGCACTCTCTTCAGTTTCTCTGGAAGGAAGAAAACAACTTTATCTTAAGTAACCGGGTGTCAAAAACTGAATCGACTCAATATGGAACAAGTAAATCTCAATTTCTCGTTTGCTAGATTTCATTGTAACCAACCAAATGAACTATGAATTATTATAATCAAGAACAACATTCTTGTTTTCACTCGAAACTGCACAATTTCCTATCATAAATAAAAATACTGTTCGTTTCAAGAAGTTAGAGATATGCCCCTTCCCTTTATTAGGATGCGCCGTAGCATCATTCCAAATTCAATCATATTTATCTGCGGAGCTCATTTCTCCACCCATCATCAAGCGAGAACTCGACGAAAGTGTACAGTACCATTTGTAAAATTATTTAAACTGGCTCGTTAAAAATTAAGAATATGCTTTATTTAAAAGCATATTTAGCCAAAAATAATAACAAGTGAATTAACTTAACGTTCTACACACCTATAAAACTTTTGCTTTGTTTTCTATTGTTAATTTATATACATTTTTGTTTTAAGAAATTGCTAAACATTTTCGTCTAGTACTGTACAGTTCTAGTCGATCTCTTAAGACCGCCCATCGAGAGCTCTGCTCGTTCAAGCTTGTTCCAACTATTTCTGTTTTGCTCACGCCTAGTGTGTATTCTTTCTATCTTCGCGCAGATTTCTTCAAGGTCACAATTCTAACAAATTGAAATGGACTGTAACAACCTACCACTTCGTGGTGTATTTTTTACGTTCAATTCGTCGACTATTCATATCATTTTCATTGACATATCACACATTTCAATCCCCTTCATTACTACGCTATACATTATGGTTAATTAAGTCGTTCTACAAAAAAGTCACTCACCTAAACTAGCAACGTTGTCAGATGATGTCGGTTGTCGGGTGATTGGTGGTAGTGGATCTACAGATCTTCTTAGGCCTAGGAGTCTCTCTTGACTTCTACTCATTCTAACGTTTTGGTAAGGCGACGTAACAAAAGAAACGGATGTATCATCAAATGATGTCATCGTATGTGAACGTGCGAAACTAACATGTTTTGGCCTGAAATAAAAACATAATATTCAGCCATCTTTATTTCTCTGTTTCAGTGGGCATGGCAAATGTACAATATATTCTGTGGAAATAAAGTCCCACGTTTGGTAAAAGTGAAAATTACAATGCCATCCATGAAGTAGATTCGAATGTTAGAATGCTACCAATTTCCTTTACAATTTTCCTAAAATAGACGAACATTCATCTAATCACTAAATTCAACGTTAAACTACCCCACCAGACCCACCAGAACCAAAGTATCCATTCAGAGACTCAAACCAACGTGTATCGTGGCAGATAAACAGCATTAGTGAAGTAAACGGGATAGGATACTGGATCACACCGACCATCAACATTTTCCCATGTTTTGGCTTTTAGAATATCTTTCTAAGTCATTTTTAAACTGAAGAGATTAGACAATGCCCCTTTTGTCAACAATACCAGAAGATCATGTTGGAGACCCTCTGGAAAACTGGGGTGGAGCCTATTTTGAAATTGAATTTTCCATGTAAAGTTGTTGCCTATCAAACGAGGTGACGCTAAAATATTGACAAATAGGTTTCTGTAAATCTGTATATATATATATATATATATATNAGGTTATCGGGTTTTGTTCAAGTGACCACCCTCTTTCGATGCCCCACCTCCACCCGCTTGAAAATAATTATTTTGTTGAATTTTATTTGAATTATAGTGTATGAAAATTGTCAAAATAATAAACTTTCAACCCCCATAACTTTTTGTGGGGGTGAGACCGCCGCAAATTTTTTATGGGGTTTAAATCAGGTGACCACCCTCTTTCGATCCCCCCCTTCGGGGTGGGGGCCATCATCTAACACCCATAACTTTTTAGGGGGAAGAGACCGCCACGAACTTTTTATGGTACAGTGGTGGGGGAGAACCCTCTTTCGATCCCACCCACACCCATCCACTTCGGGGGGTGGGGGCCATCATCTAGACATTTACCTAAATGAATCTTACTCTAACAAGTTCAATGGCAACGTGAGGAGTTCCACAAGGCTCTCACATTGGCCCATTTTATTTTCAATATACTCCGGAATAGCATATTAATATTATTATTATTCTTCTGTGCTTTCAATCTCAGGATATTTTGTTTACTGACGATCTACAGTTATTCTGATGAATGATCTCGAATGACGTTATTACACAAATAAAAATGGACTTTAGCAGTAGGCATTTCAAAAAGTGCTACATATATCGCATATTCAGTGAGCATTTGGACATGTGAAAGCTGTGCGCAAGATGGATTCCCTTTTGCTCACAATCGAACAAAAACAGTGTCGTGATGATGTTTCAGTGGAGTGTTTGGTCATGTTTAGCTAGCCGCAACAAAGCCGGTTTTTTGCGTCCATTAATAATTACGAATGAACTACGGGTCCATCACTACACGCCCCACGTGAAGGAAAAGTCAAAACAATGGACACAATGGACTGAAATGTGTAGAATCGGTTCCAAGGTAGGCAAAAACAGTTCCATCTGCAGACAAGGTTGTAGCTTCATTTTTTTGAGACCCCGCACGGTACAATTTTCATTGATTATCTTGAGAAACGAAAAATCATCAACGGCGAATATTACGCAAACTTATTGTAGCGCGGGATTACAGAAAAGATGTTGCTTTTGGTGAAAAATAAAAAATCACGACGACAATTTGCCTGTTCACACATCCAATTACTGTAGTGGTCAAAATCATTGACTTGAAGTACGAATTACTTCTTCTGTTTGCCAGATTTAGCTCCCTCGGACTATTTGATCTTTCCAAAGTTTAAGAAATGGCTCGGTGGCAAAAAAAATACCAACGATGAAGAAGTGATGCAGTAGATGGCTATTTTTCTTACTATAATCAAGATATCGAAGCTATTGAACATCATTGGGAGAAGGAGACCATGTTGAGAAATAAATAAAATTTTCTATATCACGCATTCAACTGAAAAAGTGTCTTCTATTTTATAAACTATTGTATACGCAATTGGTCGTCATTTATATTTAAATAACGACGGCCTTTAGACCCAAATTAGGACAGCATCAATTTTTCCTTTCATCATCATAAGGTCATTAGTCCTAAGACTGGTTGGACACGGACTTTTCTATGGTGACCACATTTCCTATTCTGAGTTAATCTTCGCATTTCCCTAAAACTAGAAAATCCCACATCCTTAACTATTTGTGGACAGTAATCTAATCTAGGTCTGCCTCTACTCCTTTTATCCCCTGTTTCTACCTCTAATATGTCTCTCACTAGACCTTCATGCCTGAGAAGGTGTCCTACCAACCTATCTCGCCTATTTCTTATTGACTTCCATAGAGTCTTCTGTTCCCTTATTCGTTTCTAGTATCTCTTCATTTCTAACCTTCTCTATCCACGGTATCCTCATCTTTCGCCTGTGACACCACATTTCAAACGATTCTAACCTTTTCTTTTCCGCCATGCTAAACTTTTGGGTGTTTCATTCCCACCAGCCAGTATTGCTGGTGGGCGGGCAGTCCCTCCGGNTCTCATCTTTCTCACCCGAACCACCACCCACCCATTCCCACGATTCCTGAAAGCAGGCTGAAGAGGGCCTTCCGCCCTACCTTCCGGCGTAGTCCGGAGGGACTGCATTACTGGTTGGTGGGAATGAAACACCCAAAAGTTTTTTTTTCTCTTCAGCTGAAGAATATCCTAGGCAGGCGTTCTTAAGGGTGAATAATACCCTCTTTAAGCAAGGCAGGGACTCACTTGAAGAAGAAATCATTCAAAAAGTCGAAAAATTAATACTGGAAGATGTCTGACTTAAGAAGAAACAACCCGCAGGAATGGTAGGAGTATCAGATACAACCATTTTTTAAAGTCTTCACCATCATCTTGGCATGACTAAAGTCAGCGCAAGATGGGTGCCGAAAACAACAGCTTGTGGAGTATTCTAGCGCGTCTTTGGACCTCTGTAGTGAAGATGAAGATGGAGTACTGGCTCTCACAAAAGGATCTTGCTTTTCATATTACCCTGGCGTCCAAGACAAGACTAAGCAAGATCGATATATTCATAAACCTTGCAATAGCACTATTTCTAAACATCCCATAAAATACATGTAGTAGGTCAATAATTGTAACTTTCACCATGAGCCAAGAAATATCTGAGGCCCCATCTCTTTAAAAAGATATTCTAGTCGCGTGCCTGCGCTAGTATTAAAACTGTTCCCTGTTACGTAAATGAAAAGAGTAGGTTTTTAAAATTTGAGGCTTTGGCCGAATAGATTTTCATTTTTCATGTACCATCTGTGTTAATACATGCACGTTTACTGTACAACCTGTTTTTAGAGCGCACGCTAACGGTAACCTATTCCATTTTACTCCTTTTTCAAAACAAATACGTACGTACCATACGTTCAAGAGATGAAAAATTGCTTATACGATGGCAAGCACAAAAGCCCGCAGGAAAGCGAAGAAATTTCCTCCATGCATGTTTTTTATGCTGATACAAAACATTTCTGAAGTAGTCCGTTGTTATCTACATTTGGTTCGAGATGTTGTAAAACTCAACTGTTGTCTTTCATAATGGATTATAAGTATTCGTTCATCAACGTCAGCACTAGGTCGTCAGTCCTAAGACTGGATGGCACGCACTTCCACTAATTCCTATCCCGAACTAATCTTCGCATTTCCCGAACAGTAATCTAATCTAGGTCTAGCTCTACTCCTCTAACTCCTATTTCTGCCTCTAATATATCTCTGACTAGACCTATCGCCTATTTCTTATTGACTTCCATAGAGTCCTCTGTTCTCCTATTCATTCCAATACCTCTTCATTTCTAACCTTTTCTATCTACGGTATCATCATCATTCGCCTGTGACACCACATTTCGAACGCTTCTAACCTTTTGCTTTCCGCCACGCCCACTGTCCACGTTTTGCACCCGTACAGCATCGTGCTCCAAACATACACTTTAACAATCCTTTTCTCAATTAATCGTTCGCGAGCATACCTAGAAGTGACTTCTTTTTATTGAAAGCGACTCGGCCCTGCGCTATCCTCTGCTTTATATCCCTACTGCACCTTCCGTCCTGACTTGTCTGACTTCCTAGATAACTAAAATCAATCACTTCTTCTAATCTTTCGTCTCCTATCTTTACATTCGCTCATTCCTTACTTTTTCTTCCCTTGCATACCAGTATTTTTGTTTTACTTTTATTTATTTTCATACAATTCTGTTAGGTCAATGCCGCTTCCATTTGATTTAAAGCTATCTCTAACTCCTCCTTGTTAGATGCTAATACTGCTATATCATCTGCAAATCTAAGCATACTAATTTTTTGGCCCTGTATATCTATCCATACAGTTCTTCTGTCTTTAATGCTATTGATCGCGTCTTCGATGTATAGAGTAAAGAGCAGCGGTGATAGTGTACATCCCTGTCTGACTCCAACTCCCTTCCTAATGTTTACTCTAACTCATCTCTACATTTTTAATTATATTTAACATCTTGTCCTATTTAACATTGTCAAAAACCTTTTCTAAGTCTACAAATCCTATGTACCCACTCATTCCTTTATCTATCGACATAGGTAGATAACAATTTGAAACGCCTGAATGATTTTCTTTTCTAGTCCGCGCCTGTTGTCATGAACTCTGATATTAACTATTAATAAGTTGTATTTTTAACTTCTTCTAATTATTTCCTTCTTACCCATTGGATAAAAATGTCCATCAAATTACAAGATACAATTTTAACTGCCCTAATTTCTCCTTAAACAACATCAAAACAGCATACATTTATTGGGCAATTTAATATCCTTCCGTTCAAAAGCATATGAGAAACCACATACTTTAACTATAGAAAACAGTTATATTGTTGTTGAGAATTTAAGGAAAAGAATTTCTTTAATCGGACGAGGAAAAGGCCATTGAGCTAGAAGTTATGGAATGTGCACTTACTGCAACTTAACGACTTGGTTTTAATGATGGCACATTCCACAAAATTCCTGCCATTCATGAGGCGAGTGCGAAGTGTCATAGTTTGTCGCGTTTCTCATTAATAAACTGAATCTGTAAATATTCGAAATTGCGAAAGTACTTCAACCATGGAATTAAAATTTAATTATATTTGCATTCATCTACTAGATGTATAATCATTACAATGCTTCCAAGTAGTTTCTGTTCTATTTTATTAATCAAACACCAGCTGTATAAATAATAACCTACATAGTAAGGAAATTGCTTTAAATGAGGTCCTAACCCGCATCTGGTCCTTAATCCTTCCACAAAATTCAGAGACTGGCCGGAAGTATGTACGTAACATTAATCAACGTAATACACGGGTCATGTTTCAGTTAGGATTTATTTTAATTCAGTCCAAATTAACGAGATTTGTCACTGACCTTGTTATAGCGGGTGGTGGTGGTGGAGGAAGAGTGGCCGGATTGTATTGGTCGAGTAGGGACCTCGGTCGTTCCAATCGAACCGATTCGTCATCGGATGGCATCCACGTGTACTTCCTCGGATCGATTCGGGATCGCTTGCGGAAATATGAACAGTCGCTCTCTTCGTTATAGGAGTAGATATCCGACACCGGTTGTGATCCAATCCACGGGTAACTAAAAAAAGTGACATTGTTAACCCCATTATTGAGTTTTTACGATAATATCGTACAAAACTACCCTTGAAAACTTAATAATAATAATAATGATAAGTAAATATCTAGATGTAACTGTGCAGGTGACCTTATAGAGGTTGGAGCTAAAAACTGAAACGTTTTATAGTCACTAGATGTATGAAGTTAGGTTAGGTTACGTAATAGAGGAAGGAGCTAAAAACTGAAACGTTTTATAGTAACTAGAAATATAAGGTTAGGTTAGGTTAGGTTATAGAGGTAGGAGCTAAAACCTGAAAGGTTTTATAGTCACCAAAAGTATGAGGTTAGATTAGGTTAAGTTCTAGAGGACGGAGCTACAAACTGAAAGGTTTTATAGTCACCAGAAGTATGAGGTTAGGTTAGGTTAAGCTATAGAGGAAGGAGCTAAAAATTGAAAGGTTTTATAGTCACTAGAAGTATGAGGTTAGGTTAGGCTAAGTTACAAAGGAAGGGATTAAAAACTGGAAGGTTTTATAGTCACTAGAAATATGAAGTTACCGTCAATCGGGGAGGGGAGGAGGCAGAGGTGACTTGTTTTTTTTGAGATTCCAGACAGAGTCACTCTAATAATGTTTTCACTGCGTCGGATTGGATAAGGGTTGGACCAAATGTGGTTATTTTTTTGTAATCTAATTTTCACCTCATCCCTCATCCCCTTCATCGGTTTTCCTCCTTCCAGCGAACGTACCTTTATACAATACGTGCCGTACGTCAATGAATAATTGGTCCACACGTAAAAATGTGATAAGACTTATTACGTCGAAATATAAAAATATCCAAGAGTATACGTTCAATGTAAACTGCAAGAAGTAAACCCGAGATCGTATTATTATCTTATTTCTAACCACTCGTTAAATGTCTCCTGAAACGTGTGGTAAACAATTTTCTCTGAATTTACGGGAAAATGCTAGACAGACAAAGGTAACGATTTCCTGAGTTTTGAAATTCTGCGAACACCGAACACGAAAAATAATATTGTGAAGTGGGTGGCAGTCAGTTTTTAGAGACGTTCCTAAGAATTCAATTTAAAGATTTCGATCTGCCACTTTCCGAGGACTTTGGGGCTCAGGCAGGGAAGTGCACGTATATCATGAAAATGTCATCAAGTCAACTTAAGACGTGACATAAAGAACAGTAACGGATGCAGTCGAGTTCGCAGAACTAGAATCCCACTAAACCTTTCCACTCTAGAAAAAAAAATCAATCAAGGCAGTCGTTCTCGAACGACGTTCAATGCAGTTGATGCACTATGTATAACAGAATTCTGGCAAATATTGAAAAACAGAAGTTTCTTTTATTTACCATCCAACCAATATAAACTTGAGTCACTGACGTAATACTTTAAAGCTATTTTTATTGTAAAGGTATGTCATTCAGTCTTCAGCGAGGCGTGCTCATTGATTATATGTCTTCTACATATATCCAAAAAAAGAATAATTTACCCTATTAATATTAAACCTGAGTTTGCACTGTTCCAACTGCTTCTATTGTTAATTTTAAGGAACTTGCTACATTAAAATCCTGAAGAATGGCAGAGTTGACCAAATATGGATTCTGTGTCTCTATTCATACTTAAATTATTACTCACTGCATGAAATATTGAGACCAAGATTTAAAAACGGTTGCACTCTTTAATAACTTCAACGCATCATCAACATAGAGTGATCAGTCTAGATGAACACACACCTCCACCTTGTCCTATCCTGAGCTCATCATCCCGTTTCCCTAAAACTAGAAAAATCCACATTCTTAACTATTTGTGAACAGTAATCTAATATAGGTCCATCTCTACTCCTCTTATCCCCTGTTTCTGTTTCTAATATGTCCCTAACTTGCTCTTCATGCCTGAGAAGACGTCCTACCAACCTATCTCGCTTATTTTTTATTGACTTCCATAGCGTCTTCTGTTCTCCTACTCTTTCTAATACCTTATCGTTTCTAGCCTTCTCTATCTACGGTATCCTCATCATTCGCCTGGAACACCACATTTCGAACGCTTCTAACCTTTTCTTTTCCGCCGCGCTGACCGTTTACATTTCGCACTTTTACGGAGCCGAGCTCCAGTATATACCTTCAACAATCTTTTTTGAATTTCTAAATAAACCATTCGCGAGCATAGAAGTGACACCGAGCTGCATGGCTTAGAAATTAGACCATTGCTTAGCATTCAGGAGGACGCCGGTTCCATTCCAGATCCGTCTGCCTTGGTCCAAGTTTTTCTATGGTTTCCTTGGATCACATGGGTAAATGCTGGGGCAGTAATATTCCACAGATAATCTTTCATTCTCTTCTGTCTTCATTTCGTCCGTCTCATCTTTCTCACCCGAACCACCAGCCATCAATTCCCACGATTCCTGAAAGGAGGCTGAAGAGGGCCTTCCACCCTACCTTCTGGCGTAGTCCGGAGGGACTGTCCGCCTACCAACATTAGAGGCTGGTGGGAATGAAACACCCAAAAGTTTATAGAAGTGACTTCTTTTTGTTGAAAAAGACTCGACCCTGCGCTATCTACTGCTTCTTCCATCCTGAGTTATCTGATATCCTAGATACCAAAAATTAGCAACTTCTTCTAATTTTTTATTATTTCCCTACTTTTTCAACTGTAACATTATTCGGCAATAGGTAGCAATGGTCACTAGACGATAATGGTTTTCTATTAGCCAAATTGGCAAATCACTTTACGTCTTAGAGATTCTGCTTGAATTAAAAGATTCAATAAATTTCAAACAACTAATTCGATTTAAATTAGTGTCTACCTACACACCTTTGTGAACTAACAATAAGAACTAAAAATGAATGACCGAATACATACAAGAGTTTTTACGTCCAGGGAAGCAATTACATGAAAAGCAGATTTATCTAACAATGAGTACAAAAAAGGCTATAAATTTTCCCAAACTTCGGCTGTTTGTAGGTATCTCAATGTCAGTGTTGGACTTTTGGTTGGAATCCCCTCAGAACCGCGGAATAATAATCTCATAAATTAGACCCGTAACAAGAAAACTCATGCAATTAGTTAACCACATTGGTTTAGATTGATGGTAAAATGCTTCTTCCTGTTTTCCTTATAAACGGAACTTTGACTAACTCCGAACTCCATCCATAGTTAGCATCATAATTTAGATGCCATGTGTAGTAATGTCAAAACTTTACAAACTAACTTAATCTGACATGTACCTATATGTGTATAGTGCAATGCGGATACCTTATCTACTCTAAAATATACATTTTATCTATTTAGAAGTGAATAGTTGTAGTTAACTACGTTTTAAAACATTACAAACAACAACTCAATTAGTTGCAAAGAACCATTAAAAAATATTTAATTAGAGCGAAGATAAAAAATAATAATTTCGTTATGCGATAAGAACATTCTTTGGTAAGTATTTTTTCATACAAAAAGGTTAGAAATGACGAGGTTTCAAAAAGAGTAGAAGAACAGAGGGTACTATATTGAAATCAATAAGAAATAGACGAAATAGGTTGATAAGACACCTTCTCAGACCTGATGGATAGATTAGAAATGTACTAGAAGCAGAAACAAAGGTTCCATTCGATTTTTGCCAATGATTTGGGCATGAGACGGCTCACCGCGAAATTCGTACCAAAAACAGCATCGCATTAACATTGATAAGGAGCTGTTGGACTCTGTCCACGACCAGAGGGTCATAACTGGTGACAAATAATGGGTTTATGGTTATGAAGTGGAAACCAAAGCTCAATCATTCCAATGGAAGCTATTACACTGGTCAAGACCGGAAAAATGGCGTCAAGTTAGGTCTAATGTGAAGGTTTTGCTTACAGTTTTCATAGATTGCAAAGGAGTGGTGCATCATAAGTTCTTGCCACCGGGTAGAAGGACCAATAAGGAATATTACCTGTTAGTTATGCGTAATTTGAGCGAAGCAATCCGCCAGAAACGCCCGGATTTGTAGAAGAACAAAAATTGTCTTTTGATAGCCATGATAACACCCCTGCTGACACATCGTTGCTTGTGCATGAATTTTTTGCCAAAAACAACACACTAATAATGCCGCACCCACCGTATTCCCCAGATCTGACCCCCTGTGATTTTTTCTTGTTACCGAAACTGAAAGGACGACGCTGCGCTACGTTTGAGGAGATAAAGACGGTATCGAAAGAGGATCTAAATAATATCATAAAAAATAATTTTTTGAAGTACTTCGAGGATTTGCAAAAACGTTACCACATGTGTACAATATCTGGTGGGGATTACTTTGAAGGGAACAAAATAGATATTCATGAATAAATAAGTAATCTACTTTTATAATTGCATCCCGATGTTCCGTTCTTTGAAGTACGAATGTGTATCGCTTATATGAAGTAAACCGTTGATGTTTATTCAATTTACATTTATATACAAAAGTTTTCCCTAAAGGAAGGCATTCTGAAATAGGATGCTTACTCAGTTATGCTAACATGAAGCTTTAACAAAGGAATAGGTACTCCATCTCGAACAACGTGGAGAGCATTCAAAGGCTCGGGTACAGCTTGTGTATATGTGAAAGTAAATGCACTGGCATCGTGAAAATAAACAGTAATAGTAAAACAATTATTATTTGCAAATATTATAAATTAGATACATATAATATACGTATACAAGTACGAAGTGGACTTAGTAGCTTGAACAAAAGAAGAATAACTATATCTAAACGTTTATCTATCGGATCCTTATTGACAAGCTTAAATCTTATGCTATTTATATGATGTGGTAAAATCAATGAAGGTAAAGGTCTAGACGACGGCCCCGACCCCTTTCGGTGGTGGGGATCGAAAGAGGAGGTCTCCCCCACTACTGTACCATAAAAAGTTCGTGGCGGTCTCATCCCCATAAAAAGTTATGGAGCTTTAA